GCGTTTGTCTTGGTAAATTAAGACCTAAGTATATTGTTTCCCCAAATTATTGTGAATGCCAAAGAAAACGTTCATATAAACTTAACTCTGTCCACCGATCCATGTACATGATAATATCCTCGTTAATTGAATGATCACTTGCTATTCCTCAAATAATATATATGTATATTTTCGAACCTTAAGTGTATGCATAGAATCTTCTAGTATTGTGTGTATGCTAAATACACATTCAAGTCATTTATAAGCAAGACATACATACGATGAGTAAAGCAATGACTCCATACACAATATAGTATCCACAGTAAATGAAGTGGGCTTGTCCCACACAATGTGCATCTCATTCAGTGCGGACTTTGGGAGATGTGGGCATTCCCCCATGCAGCTAAATTGATTGTATGGTTGTGAATGCTGCTGTTAAGGTTTAGATTTTTTTTTTTAATTTAAATGCCACTTGCTATTTTAAAAAGTGTCAAGAAATGTTTGTTTATATGTCATGTACAGAAGACACGATGTGGTATAACTTTTTTCTTGGCACTTATTTGGAATGACTTGCACAACTCTCTCATTGCTTCCTAACTACTGAGTAACATGAGCATCTCAGTCACACAGATAAGATCTTTACACTAGACCATATAACGGTTTTCTCTCCCTTGATTTGTAGGTATCACGTACAATATGCTATGAAGATCTATACAATTAATTGAAAACAAAATAGAGAACAAAAAGTTTTACAGCACACTGGCATTACTTGTAAACACTGAAGGTGAATTAGTATTTATAAAAGGACTGTTCTGCAGGCCTTATGCAGAGTAGCACTTACACCTGTAAGAAAGTGTTGACGAATCAGGCCAAAAGTAAGGGACTCAAATCTTTAATTTGCCGTATTTACTGAGTGGCACTAAAGCCCACAGACAGACAAGTGCACCTTAACCTTGACTTTAAACACCCTTGAATGTAGTTCTGTGTCTGTCTTGAGCAGGTATTGCTTGTTATATCAGATTGTGTGGTGGGGAGACAAGGGTGTTAGTGATGTAGGTAAATGGGAACTAGGATGCAGCCAAAACTATTTCCACTTGTGACCAGCACAATATTTTAACCACTACTTCTAGACATGAATGATTAGTGCATTAAACTCTGTTTCATCTACACACACAACCTAACTTTTAATTGCATGTTATGTTCTTGGTATTACCTTTGATCTGAATTCATCAGTGCTTTATTGATTTAAAATTGAGTGGGTATAGTATTTTCACTGAGTTTTTCCAACTCTTCCAATTCATTAAAAAGTTAATCAGACTGTCGTAAATCCTTATTTTTCACTGTTTAAAAATGTTTTCATGGTCTGTTGTTTTCATGGAGCTTTATGGATCCATTAAGTTTTAACCCATTTTCCGGCACCATTTTTAAAAAAAAAATCCCAGATCCTGCAAAATTACACATGTACTTAACTTACCCACTCTGTCAGTGGGAATCTTCACAGTACATAAAGTTAAGCATGTCTAAGTCTTAGCAGGATCCACATTTATGACACTGTTTTTTTAGAACCGGAAACCTATCCAAAGTTCCTGCAGCAATCTAGCATAGGTGTATATGAGTATTTTTGCTTTTGAGGTCTCCCTCTCTAAATTCCTTTCCTTGTATAGGATGGTGAAAGCAGTTTTGCACACTGTTAGTCATTGTAATAAATCTATTTGTGTGGACTTTTTTGTTGTTTTTTTAAGGACTCAGTGCTACAGTTCTTTCTCAGGCAAAACCTCCATACTTGTGGTTACACTTACAGATCCAAGTCAGCTGTCATGTGTTTTGTGATACTTTTGCTATGAAACAGTCTATACAAAAATAAATTGTATACTATTTGCTTTTCCTCTGCTGCAGTCTGTGAGTAAAAATATCTTTTGTTTTATACAATTTTGTATCAACACAGTTTATTCCACAATTTTTGTTTTTCTTAACTTAAAGTTTCACTTTGCAAACATTCTACTGACTTCCTCAGAGCAATGAAATAAAACACCTCCTCCTGAGTACAGATCCATCATTCTAGCACTCAAAAAAGTCTTCAAGGTTTAGAAAACAGTTTTTACTTTCAACTTAAAATCTTGAAAGTCAGTGGGATTAGACATAAATGCATAAAATTTTAGCTGTGTGGATCCTTCTACAGAATTGGGGCCATAATGACTTCTCACACCTTGAATGGGTGGTCAATTGAAAGACTGTGCTGACTTTATTGGTGAAGCAGCATAAGGATGTTTGCATCGTATGTGGTCTGTAAATAAATAAGACTTCAGTTTTCTGCATTTCAATTATACCATGACAAATACAATATATACAACTCTCGACTTCTCAAAAGGAAAGCTCTACATATCCTATCTAAGCAAAGCGTCCAAGCGAATTGAAAATAAGATGCATCCTTTTCTATCTAAAAGATTTAAAAAATTATGAAATATTTCAATTGGGAATCTTGGTATCAGGAGCCATACATTTAAGGAACTAATACATTCCTTTCTGATGTTGTGGTGTTAATGATTTACTACATTTTTTAAAAATTGCTTGTTTTATTGTCCAGTGAGTGTCAGGCCCCAGTAGTGAAACACAGCACCTGACACTAATAGGGTTAAAAGGATCTACGCTATGCGTACTATGCTGTGCATTATACCTACATTGCTTGTACATTGTTTCCCCCCCCCCCGCCCTCTTTCCCCAGTATTAGCAATCTGCTTTTGTACTTTGACATCAGGGATTTCCCTAGTGAATTTTGTCACAGAAAAAAGAGAATCATCAATATCGCAGTTAAACTTGACTTTCAAAGCTAATAGTATCTCATTTGAGGGCTCAAATTTAATAAATTTTCTTTGATTCTGGGTGAGTTTTTAAACATCAAACAATGAATTGGCCAGGGTGCAGTAAAATATTTAGATCTATTGACTATGGTTCAGAAGGGTAGCAGGCAAAACACTGGGGTGGTTTGATGTTGATAAATTCTTGGTACCTTAATCCACTTTTAATGTTTTCTTTTATCTGTGTGCATATTAACAACTAAAAGAGCCTGAAAAGCTGATATATAAACTATAAAAATTTAAATCAAATATATATTTAAAATAAGATGTTTGTGTTCTATTAAGCACAGTTAGTGTCTGAACAGCATTACACATTCTGACAGAAGACCCTGGAGAATTTATTTGTTCCACAGGACTGTATATCCTGAACCTAGTACACTATGTGTGAAACGTGTGGCCTATACTGTTGTTAAAATTGCATTATAGTGCATATTTTTGGCAGCCACAGGTATTGACAGGAATTCTTTAGGTCTGCCTGGGAAATGTAGGGCTCCCTTCTCCTATGTACGATAGCAGAGAATGGAGGGGGAAAAAAGTATTTCTAGCCCTGTGTATCTATAAAATTACACACACAAACACACTTGTTTTAATAACAGTATATTTCAAATGTTGTGACACTCACGGAGTATGTTCTTCAGTATAATCAACAGCATTTTAAAAAGTAGAAGTAGTTAAAAGGAGACAAATGTCATCTAGAATTTTAAATCAGTTGGAATATCTTTTAATTTAGGACGGATTGGATATTTTTGAAAGGTTTGGCTCTAAGTAAGAGAAGCTGTCCAAATTTATATTTGTAAATTGTGTTGGTAAATGGTATGTTCTGTCATTTTATTAGTCCCTTCTAAAACTATGCATTGACAATAAAAGTCAGTAATGATCTTTGCCATGGTAGCTAACCTTATGTAACAGACTAATAGGATATACATTCTATAATATAATTCAATTTGGTTTAACTACTGGAATTTTATTTTGTAAGATCCAAAAATAGTGCAAGATTAGGAAAAGGGCATATTAATAATTACCTTTTGTATCAAATAAAAATGGGAAAATAGGGTGTGTACAGTTTTATATATGTGGTGTATGTGTAATCAAGTACAGTATATATTACACACCGATATACACTTACAAAATAAAATCTTTCAGTATGTGGGGGAAAAGCTGTTTTTAGTTAATAATGAAAGTATTTCATATTAATGTGACACAGTAACATGTTTGGGTATTTAAAGGAGAAAATATTCATCATATTTATATAGCTGAGAGTTCTACTTACGTATTTTTATCATTTTCACAGCATATACGTTTATATAATGTATTAAAAGCAGCTTTTTGCTTAGCCAGAAGATGGCAGTGTGATACCAACTGCATATGGTTACGTTTGTCAACATAAGTAGGACTCTTTCACATGTATATTTGGGTGGGGGGGGATGGTTGGTTATTTTGTTTAATTTTTACCTTTCGCAATCCTTAATCAAACTATGTAGACTTTGTACAAATACTACTGGTTTCGGTTTCCTTTTCCTTGTTTAGAAGGTGTACAGCTAAGTTAGCTAATACTAATATGTATTAGTTCCTTTATGTGAATCTGCCATTAGAAATCTAACAGGCTGTGCAATTAACAGAAGAGAAAAATTCTGCTACAGGTAGATTTTTATTTCTGTTTTAGGAAGGATTTTAAATTTTGTTCTGGAGCTTAATTGAATTTGTACTATTGAACCCCTCTACAATGTGAATGATTTCTATGCAGCAGTCAAAACTCATTTATCATCTCTGTTCTTATATGTTGTTGCACAGTACTTTATTAATAGTTGATGATTGTTGGATGGAAAGTGTAATTATTGCCTACAATTTGTTTTCTTTTGTGTTAGATGTTTTAGGAGGGATGGATCTGTAAAATTTGTCCACCAGTTGGAGTGAAGCCCTCAGTGACTCTTCTTCCCTTCTCATTTCAGTCCAGAGGAGGATGCTTTTTCTTCTTAGCATTCTCTCCCAGCACTCTGAATTAGAGATTTATTTGCAACGAAAAATCAATTAGTCCTAAATTTATTCATGGATTTCAGGTCCAGCGATCAATGCAAGTCCACTCAGTGGGCTCAAGGGGACCCAGTTCATCCCAGTTAATGTGTCTGAAGGGGAATTACCATTGATGCTGGGTTTTTTTCCCTTTAGGTCAGAGATCAGATCTCGCTGTCACGGACTGCGGCAACCAGGAATGACTTCACCCTGCAGCTACCCAAACTGCACCTGGAGACCTTTGCAATGGAAGGGCTGAAGGGCGGGCCAGAGGTTGTAGCATTTCAGGTTAGAGTCTAAATAACCGTTTTTTTGCAACTGAGATGTAGAGAGAACAAAAGCTTCAAAAATGTTGTAGTCAACAGCTAAAAAGAGAGAGTAATTTCCTTACATATCTTTTGAATGATATAATTCAGTGACTGTTAGGAGCTTTTAATATTGGAGGTGAAATATTAAATAATTGGAAAAAAAAACAAATGCCACAGAAAAAGATGTAAAATGTTATATTTGAAAAGTAGTGTTGGGAAAAGCTGCTTTCCTATTTAATTTAACCTGAGCATGACAGAAGAATAAAAAAAATAAACTATTTCTCCCTGCTTCTTTTAACCGGTTTAAGAATTTTTTTCTCTAAAAATTAAGAGATTACTAAAGACTTAAACTGTCAAAAAATCAACATTTTTAGAGCAGTACTAATTTATGTAGAATTGCAGTTTAGAATAATCAAGCACAGAAAATATTTTGTTCTTGTAATCCCTGGTTTTAAAGAATGGAATGTTTCCATGTCTACAGAGTATTTATTCATTGGAGGGGAGCAGTGGGGGAAAAATTGGTTTGAACTAAAGAAGGACCCCATATTCAACTCTAAAAAATGGACTGTGTTTTTAGCTTTTGTCTATTTATGCACACATTATCCCTTACTCTTTTTATAGCCATTCAAAATGACTTCATTCTTGTGCCACAGTACTGCTAAGGGCAGAATATTTTTTGTTTTTGATTCAGAGAATGGAGAGGACCGTGAATAAATATTTTTCACTGTGCTCTTGCTATGTACAGAAAACAGAAATGTGTTAATTTGTGTGCAAATTGTAGGGATTTTCACTTCATATGTCGCACAGTGGATGTACACTTCCATTTTATTCATTTTTAAAGCAAAATGAACTGTATATTCCGTAAAAGGTATGCGACTGAAGTGTGAGGGTTGCACACCTAATCAAATACATTCAGGAACCACAGAATTAAAGTTAAACGCTCATTCTAATATCTGTCCTCTTGCACACATGCATGATATGATGCATTTATTAATCATGCAAAATATAAATTTTTTTGAATAATACAGTGCAATATGATACACTTTGAATTTAACTTTGTAAAAAATCCTAATTGATATGTATCTACTCATTGGAAGGAGGTGGGGAGAGGATAGAGCTGTAGAATAATCTCTCCCTAACTCAGTGGTGGTCATTCTTATTCACTCCTATGGCTAGGAGTGAGATTCCACAGGTAATGTTTCCTAGAAGAGAAAGCCACATAAAAACAAAACAGCAAGGTTGCTGCCTTTCTAAAGTTGCTTCCTCATGCCTTTCTAATCTGGTAGCCTGGTGTGAGGCCACCTGTCTTTTCCTTTTCCATCCTGTGGCCCTGGTAATGTTGCAGAAGCTCTTGCAAGACAGCCTGTCCCTTCGTCCTCTTTAGGGGATGAGGATGAATAGGAATATAAGAAACTCTATTTCAGGACTTCACTGAACACCAGGGAACTGGACTAGTGCACAACATGGCTGAGTTCCCTGAGTGGCTAACTTGTGGTGTGATTGCACACATGTACGTTGCTTCTGCCCTTGACAGCAGCAGTAGCATCTGGTTACTTTGCATATAGGTAAACAGCAGACAGGGTCTACAGTTTATCTAAGCATGAATTTCCGAGGATTTTCTTTGTTGTGTTTTTTGTTGTACATTCTGAAACAACTACTTATAGCAGTACTTGTATAGAGCATATTATCAATTATATGCTCTAGATTTTTACTTTATTTAAGCATTTCTTTCTTTTTTTATGGTGTGTGCCTGTTTAGCTTAGTTTTAATTATATCATATGGAGTAAATGTATGCGAAATATGGATCTAAGGAACCTGTCCTACGGTCTTGAATTATGAAGTAGCTTTACTCATGCAAGTAGTCCTATATGGTATTAAAATCAATGGGATTATTTGCATGAGTTAAAATTTCATGATTGGTCCATATCACTATTATAAATTTATTTTACATTGTATTATTAGGTAAATATCATGCAATCGTGTAACTAAAGAGCACATTATAGGCAAATGTTAAAAATGAGCATTCAGCCCCAACTCTAAATGCATTGGTTTTCGTGCGTTTAATTTCTTGCACAGAATTTTCATTTTTCTTTTAAATTCAAAACAGGGAAAAAAAACAGAAATGGGTGACAGGTATAGCAGTAGCCACTGGAATCAGTGAATACTGACCTGTTATGTGATGGGGAACTAAAATTTTATAAATCTGATCTATATCAAGTGACTGTGATCCATAAATAATGTTCAGCTTCTAGACAGCACTTCAGTTGGCCCCTATATTACATGTTGTTGTGAGAAGAAAACAAAATCTTTGCAATAAAGTAGCAAATGAGTACACCTGTAAGGGAACCTGACCGAGAGCTAGGGGAGTTGGTCATAGTGCTTCCAAATTTCGCTGAAAGCGAGTGGTACTGCAGAGGAATTGGAGAGGATGAAATCCTCCATGCTTGATCTATGTGGTGGGCCCAGAGGCATTAGAGATCTATAATGCATTCCAGTTGGAGTATGAAATAATTGCAAATGCTAGACAGTCATTCAGAAATTTCCAGAATACTGTGCACATATGAACGTCATTTGGAAAAGGTACATTTTCTTTACAAGAAATCAACTGCCAGGTGAGACACTCAAGCATTATGTTACATGCCTACATAGTAAAGCTATTCAAGTTACTTGAATTTGAACAGTTAACTAGGTTTCTAATTAGTTCATCAGTTATTTCTGGCATAACTGATAACCAAGTCAAAACCAGAAGAAATTTCTTGAAAGAAAATGGTCTGAGCTTGCAAAGAACAATGGATATTTACAGGGCTAATGAAAATCTGTGTTTCCCAGCTGAAAGTGGTGTTAAAGTGTGTGAGAACTGAAGCGCATCTAATAAAAAATGCATACCATGGCGTAAAGACAAAATCCATGGGTAAACAAACATCAGCAACCAAAGGGCCCGTCTTCCTCACCCCGAGACTACATGAAATGATTAGTGAATTGTAAAAATACATTGTAAATGTGCAAGCTTAACAAGGAGCTTCTTACACTTGACATGTTTTCTAGAATACCCAAAACAAGGGAAAATAAGGTGATACATTAAGAGGAGTCTGCAGTAATTATGGCCACCCATTTCTCAAACAAAACTTGGCAAGCTGAAACAGGAATGACAGAATGAACCCATCATTACAACAGCTTTTGGAGAGGTATTCAAGATGCATAGTCAGTGGGAAAACCCCAGTTACTTCAAAGAATACAACATTTTTGGGGCTTTATAGTTAAAATTGCTGCATATGATGTGATTCACTACAAAGGTTGTTGTGTCACAGTATCACTCTGCCTAAGGTTGGAAATGCTAAGTATAATTCATAGTGCCCTTGTGGGCACAGAGATATGTGAGAGCAGAGCCAGAGGTGTCCTTTCTGGCCAGGCATGAATACAGCCATGGAAGATAAGAAGAGATCGAAATGTGAATCCTGCAATGAATACAGGAAACAAGATGCAAAAGACCCATTGAAATAATCTGATAGCCCTCGCCAAGACTTTATGAAGGTTTATTTGAATTAAACTGGAAAGATAATCTTTTGCTAGGGTCTACTACTCACTTTTTAAAAAAACAAAATAAAAATTGAGCTGTTGCACTACACATCAAGTAGCAATGTAATAACCTATCATAAATCACAGTTTCCTGAGTTAATAACACACATTGGCCCACAATGAAAAGTGACTCATTTCACCAGTTTTCTGATGGATCAGTTCAAGCATACCATATGCAGGTGTTAATATGCAGAGTCAGTACTAAGAGCATGACCTTGATTTTAGAAAATCAAAACCATCCTTGTCACATCAAAGGAATACATGTATAGCATTGTCTCAGCACATCTCACAATACTTCATTATGATCATGAGGTCAGAAACTCACATGCAGAAGGACAGAGCCAATATCAAACAAACATCTTGAACCAAAGTCAGTTAGTCCAGACAGTTAGAAAACAGCTGTATGCCAACAAGGTAGCACAGGAGAAATACAACAAGAACGTCAAACATTTCCTCCCACTCACAATGAGGATAAGCATTAGATCCCAAATAGAAAGTGCCTGGCATTTTACCAAATTAATAGCTTTGCCACATTGAAGTTATATGTCCTAGCCAACCTTAGAGATGGTCCCTACCAGAGGAATACAGTATATTTAAACAAAACCAAGGAGGATTGTGGCTCTGTTTATTGAGAACATGCTAATGACACTGTTCTGAATGCTAATGACACTGTTCCTCTGCAGATCAAAATAAAACTTGTTCACCCAGTCACTGACAACAAACATGGACTTAAGATCCACCTTAACTGCCAAAAACTCCACTGAAGAAGAAACTAGTGGTATATGGCCATGTGGTTCAGAGAATGGTAGTTGCTGACAGATGGGCAATTAGAGACAGAATAATCCTCTCATCTGTCAGGGGATCTATGTTGACCTCCATCTTAGAAGTCAGCATGTGCATGTTTTTCTAATTGGTTCTATTAATTTGTGGCTGTTTTTATTTGGCATTATATTTTATTTGCATTTTGATTTTTTTTTAAAAGAAGTGTCATTGGCCACTGAAGTCAGATACTGCTGTCTGTCATGTCATAGTGGCAGTAGCTTTTTGTAACCCTAACTCATGCTAAGTGATTAGGTCTAGGAAATACAGTTCAATCTCTTATGACTCCTATGTGTAACTCTTATTACATTGAGAGTAAAAATATTAGGGAAATGAAGAAAATGTGGTGCATGCACGAATGCTCCCATATAGACATGTGCAGTCTGTGTCTACTGTGTGGTGTGACTAAGCTTGAATGATTGTGTGTGGTGTGCGTGCACAGGTCAGTTGGAGTGTGGTTAACTAGGTGTATCATCTGTGTCTGAATTGGAGGCTCTGAATGTGCGGGCTTTCTGTGGGGCTTGAATGAGTACGTGCATGTTTGAAACGATTTCAGTGTGTGTGAAAAGATATGGTATGTAAGGT